ATCGATATTAATTTTAAAAAAACTAATAATGATCGAAAATTTCAAATGCCTATGAATAGWTCAACTTAAGTCGAAATTTTTTGAAAATTGCACGGTGAATAGAATATACTTATATAAACATTCTTTGAAAATTTCATGTATCTATGGTCATTCGTTTTAAAGTTACATCATAAATCAAAATCGATTTCGTCGAAAAATGAGTGTGCGTAAAATTTCCCGTTTTTTCCTTAATTTTTAGTTTGTTTTTCTCGATTATTTAGAAAAGTATTAAGATTTACTTTTGACCCCCCAAAGTACCAACTAGATTCACTTTCTGATCGAACAAGGTACTGAAGTCAAAAATTGAATCATTTTTATTGCCCCAAAACGCGTGATGACAGACACAAAAAAAAACACACATCATGGTAAAATCAATACATTCATCGCTCCGCTCAGAATCTAAAACTAGCATACAGAGTTTAGAGAAAGTTCAAAATAATTTTATTCGTTTCTTGTGTTTTCAATGTTTTGTCTTTAGAACTCTACAATCAGGCTACGAAGTGGAATCAAGTATTTTTAACATATTTACGCTTGAAAACCGTTTTCTTCAAATATAACAAAAATGTTTATACAAAATAATAAATAATATGACTGATTGCCCTGAAATACTCCAAAACTTACATTTTAAAATAAATGCAAAAAATTATGTGAAAAAAATGTATCTTATTTAAAAAATGTAACCACGTCATACATGTCAAATTTGCCGTCGAATATTCTAATGTTAGATGGTAATTATGTTGAAAATATTGATTTTTTTAATACATCTTTTACAGAATTTTCTATTCAAATATTAAGATATACAAAATAAGAATTATAAAGATTTTTGTTTTTATTTTTATTATTTATTTAAGTTTTTCATGTATTACTTTGTATTTTGTGTATACTTATTTTGATTTAATTTTAAAACTATTGTAAATTATTTTTTTAAATTATAAATTAGTACCTATCGGCTATCATTATAGACTCATGCTTCATTGCTATAAACATTTGTATTATATTATATATAGAAAAAAATAAACATTGGAATCAAATGTTCGTTAATAAAGATTATATTGTTATTATTATTATTATTATTATTATTAAAAAAAGCACACATCATTGTAAAATTAATACATTCATCGCTCCGCTCAGAAATGGACACATTTTAATTTGGCAGTAAATAGAACGTTATGATATTTTGCGTTTTATTGCTTTTATAAGTACATTAATATTCAATGTGTATAGATATACCGAATTCGTGGGCATTCTAATAATGTTCTATTAGAAGGCACTAAAAACAACATTAATGAGTATAATGTTTTATAAAATATAGTTTTTAACCGTATATAACATAATATTATTCAAAATATACTACTCAGAAGTTTTGACCGGCACAATAATTCCACTACTTTTACGTAGATATTAATTAGGTAACGAAACAATTATACACAGTTAAATGGAATACAATCTTAAGTATTTGTCTATAATAAACCATGGAAAATCTTGTTATCGCTACCTTGTGATATGTATATGATATGTCGTGATTTTTGAATGATAATTATATTATATTTAAGTTAACACACAGTATCTAAAAGTTCAAAATGTGCATGATCGCTGTAGCTTGAATCGTTTATTATTAAATATTTGAAAATTAGAGTAAAAACAATCATCGATTCGCGGCTCGGAAATGTTCATCCCATATTATGATATAGCTTTATTGGTGTCTTTTATTTTTAATGTTGTTTTTCAAGGCCATGCGTAATGTCACGCGTATAAATGTATAATACACGTATATAGGTTTAAACACGGTAGCTTTGCTACAATAGTCAATAACGATTAACGGCCCATTGTTCGGATCACGATAACCGGATAAAACGTGATTACGATAAAAAAAATAAGCTACAATATCAATGGTTTGTCGCAAATCGAAGTCTGAAATTGTAAAGTATGTCGATAGTTTAACAACCATCCCCAGGCTATAATATTGAAAAATACTAAAATGTAATGTTATATTTTAATACTCTTGTAGTTTTAATATGATGTATATATCTATCATATAATAATATAATATGCAATATTATAGTTAAGTGCAGCCAGTACGATGTACCATAGCCCTGTGGTTATACTTGTTTTAGATTCTGGCGCAGCAAGGAATGTATTGATTTTTCAACGATGATGTGTATTGTATTTTTTTTATTTTTTTATGTAACATCATATTTAAAAAAAATAAAAATTATTCGTTTTTGAACTTAGAAAAGTTGAGTCAAAGTAAAAATTCTAAATACTTTTCAAAATTACTGTGAAAACCAAAAAAAGGATTGAGAAAAAATTATTTTTGCAAAACCTCAATTTTGATTTTTTGGTAACTGCAAAAAAAAAACGAATAACCGGAGATCTTGACATTTTCATCAAATTTTTAAACTATCATTTTTTATACATGGTATTATAATTATAAAATAATTAGCTATTCAAAGGTATATTGAATAACCAAAGGAACTTTTTCATAAGTATTTAAAGTTAATAACTTGAATGAATTTATAGGGTGATTCTTTTATCATTGAACACTCATTATTTATAAAAGTATTTACTTTTTTCAAAATATTTTTTTACATAGTTTCAAGTTGTTAAAAAACTAACGTTTTTATTAAAAAAATTATATTTTTAAATATTTTTTATCCTTATCATTTTTTAAGTTTTTTAC